AGCCCGGTTCAGCTTGCACACTAGGTCTCTCCAGGGCTAAGGACTTCATCGAGAGAGGAGCTGGAGGAGGCAGCAATGAGCGCAAGGTGAGCCTGGCCGTGCAGAAATGGCGGGTCTGGTGCTCGCTCAACACTCGGAGAGTCCTGCCCGCTGACTTGAGTTTCGCTCACGCAGGCACCCACTGTCCGGCCAGCGTCTCGCAAAGCCAAAGGTCAACGCTCAGCGAAGGGTAAGACGGGAGGGCAAGACAGGGTGCATATGCTACCGGCTATCCAACGCCTCTGTCAGCCGCAAAGATCAAGTCAGATCCGCGCCTCAACAGCGACGTATGATCCCACAGCTCGATGTTTCTGAGTGGAAATGCTGGACTGGTCTAGACTACTCATCTATCGGGGATGGTACCACCTCATCATCGAGCGAGAGCAAATATGAAGCATACAGCTGCTCAAGGAGCCGAGTGCCGACCTTTCCACTAGCCTCGATCCTCCTGCGACGCTCCAACGCATACCCACAGCAACCTTCGAAGCACAGCGTTCTACTCGCGGGTTGAGCGTCGGACATTGGCACATCAGTCAGATCAGCTAAAAGTGGTGGTCGTAGGGCAAAGGCAGGCCGTGGTCGCGAAGGGAATCAGTCCAAATACGATCGACGTGCACCGCTAATGGTGATAGCTAATGGTGAGACCATTCCACGCGCTTGGGTAGCAACATCCTCGTGTACAAACTTGGCGAAAGGAGGAGCGGGAGCATCACTCTCTCTCATGGGCGGTCATAGCATACAAGAAGACAAACGTTCGATGGGCAGGAAGCGACGAGTGAGTCAGCTACACACAGAAGGGAGTTGCGCTTATATGCGTCAGGGAGATGGCGGTAGATGTCGAGAGCAGGTCGGGTGACAACGACCGAGCTTACACTAGTCGTGAGCTGCTGCTGATACTTGCTCCTTCATCCTGCTTCGCAGTTCCTTAGACCACCGAAGTCATGTCGGGAAGGTCCGCAACCTTCTGCTCGGGGAGTGATGTTGCCCTACACTTCAAATTACCAGCGCTCGGCGCTCTGCCCAGCAGCAACATCTGCTGCTTTCAACCCTCGCATGAGTATGCTCAATGCTCATGGATAGCAAGAATTGGCTTGCTAGACGACAGCCAGCAGCTGTACTCGCGTCACACCCTCGCCTTTCAAGGTACCGCCTTCGTAGAAGGGATCTACTACCTTGCAGGTCACGGCAGTCATCAGTATTCTCTCTGCCGAAGCCGATTGCTTAGAGAAGCTTGGCACAAAGGTGAGTCAAATGCAGGGTCAACAACGCAGTGGCGGGGCAAGTGAGGTCAGCGGCCCGGAGCTTTTCGAGATCAGCACTCAGGATAAACAGAGCTGCTTATGTCTTCAGGCTGCGGTCCTGGATGATGCTGAGAAGAATGGAAGGCGTGCTCGGAGCTCAAAGCAGGTTCTATGCTGTCGGTTCCGCCCACCGCGTGTCCCGCTGAAGTACATCACTTGGTTCTATCTTCCTTTTCGAAACAGGAGCAGCCTCTTTGAGGCACTCTTTGCCGACTCGGTTCCAACCTTGCTGTGCAGAAACGGTGACGAGGAATGATCGGGCGATTCAACCTCAGGGTGGCTACGCTGCCGAAAGTGTTGAATGAGTAGCATGTCCTTGCTGAAGATACAGCCGCAAATTTCGATCTCTCACGCTGCTTGCGCAACATCGCGCTCCTCCGTAGGTCCGCAGATTCCAGCTGTGGGGGCGACACAG